CATGGATATTTTCATCTTGTTTGATATAACAAAGAAGAGAATCACAAGTAGTAACATACTGTATATAAGATGACATGTTTGACGATATTGTCACTACAGGTCAACATTTTAGCATCAAAGGTTTACAATAGGGATGGCAGAAACAAAATCACTGCAAATACTGGTCAGCTCGATTGTAGATGGTGATAAACGTGTGTCATCAAAATAATCTGCTTTCACTGTATATTAATGTTGACCTCATCAAGATATTTAAATACTCTTTGATACTCTGAGTCAATGTGTAAGGCAGGGACATACAAAATGGTTCCAGTTTGATGGGTTTGAATTCCTGATCTTTGTGTGACAGATGAAGCTCATTGTATTGCCACTGAAAAGAGCAAGTTAAAAAAGTGACATAAATATTTTTTTCTTTTATGAAATATGTGACATACGGTCTTTTATTGGTTGTTTTTGTGAAGCATCTCATATGAAACTTTTACATTCTCTATACTTATTTTAAAGATCGTCCTACTTGTGGTATAGTCATAATGGGACAGAATGTTTTTTTTCTGATTAAGTATGATGTTCATTTGCTTTTGTTTGTCTGAAGTGTCTGATGTCAAATATTTACATTTACCCTTGTTTTTTACACATCACTCAGCCTGCATGTGGAATTGCCGTAATAGGACAGAATGTAAAAAAAAAATCTGTTTGATTTGATTATTTATTAGAATTGTGAATCTGTTAATGAATATTTCAAGTACTGAATGATAATTCAGTCTAAATGTTAACATGTAGGTTACCTGAGTTTTATTTTAATCTGGGTATAATATGTGATTGTCTTAACTTGGAATTTATAATCACTGCAATTAAGAATTGAAGATTTAAATAACAATCAAATGATAATTCCTTCTTTATGTGTTGTTGTCTGCGTGTATACTCTCATTACTTATTACTTTTATTACTCTTACTTACTCCTGTAAACTGACTCAATAAAGAGAAAAAATGGGCAGACTGGCTATGAATGTCTTTAATGTTTCCCAGATTAGAATCACAGCATACAGCATATGAGCGGAGCGGGGAGCGGAAGTATTTTGTGTTGAGCGAGGAGCGGCAATTTTTTTAAAAGGTGGAGCGGAGCCTTATCTCTCGCTCCAATTTCGCTCCGGTCGCTCATGCCCCACCCGGAAGCATCTTTGCACCTGCAAGCACACCCACACTAGTTTCTTTCAAAACTATGGAGTTTAATGTGTACTTCAGAAAAGAAACTGAGAAGTCGTACAAGTGTACTATTCCTGTAAAAGTTTATTTCGTTTGAAAACTTGGATGACTTGCATTTTGTAGCCTATTTATTTGAGTTAAATATGCCCATTGATTCATCTAACCCCTGATCCTATTGGTTTAAAAATAAAACATTTTGAATTAATAAGTTGTGGTCTTACTGTTTTTGTCAGCTTAAAAACGAAACATTACCCTCATGTCTTAGTTGAGTTGGGTCGTGGTATTTTTTAAATGAAATGAAAATATGTAGCGTGGGGAAAAACGGCCAAGCTCATGTTTTATTTGTGAATATAAGATTGCAGGTGAGGGTTGTACGATGCAGGTTTTTTTTTGAGCGGAGTGGTGAGCGAGTGAAACAGGATAAAATTCATCATGGAGTTGAGAATCTGTGAGCGAGGAGTGGAAATTTTCACCCGGTCCGCTCCGCTCACATGCTCTGACAGTGTATAATAACTTCTAAATTAAACAGAAATATCATCACCTCATTTATTTATATAGTTTTACTATACTTTTTAAAATAATCATCTTTTTTAAAATTCCATTATTTAACATTTGTCTTCATCTCAAGTCTTGGGTTTCTGAATTCAACAAAGAATGTAAAAACAAGACAACAGGTGCAACTTGGCAATGGAGACCAAGCTGGAGAGTTGTGTGAGTGTCACTGTCTTTGTGTATGTTTACCATTGTGGGCTGTTAACCATGTGCTTCAATGCACCACTGACCTGACACTGGATCTCCAAATAACCTCAGTGATATGGAGTCATCAGGTGTTGCCTTTTGCTTGGCTGTCTGCAGTTGTCGGGCACGTTACGAATGAACCAAAATCCAGCCCAAACTGTGAGAACCACAGGGCTGCAGTGAGTCACTTTATAACATAGACGAGGGAGTATAGATGTATTGTGATATGAAGCTAAAGCTTCAACACAAAAAGAGTAGTTGATCCTTCAATCCAACTGAAAAACCTTAAACTAGGTGATATAAAAGACTCATGTATTATCATACAAGGTAGATGCCGATTCATTTTCTTTCAATTAACAGTTTCAGCTCTGTGTCATAGATCCTTTAGTCAATCAACAGAAAATTCAACTATCAATTATACTGATAGTAGAACATAAGTTAAAAGGGAAATATTCCCCAATTCCAGCTTCTCCAATGCTTTGATTTGCCACTCTTGCTCAGCTTTGTAGACTGAATATGTTTGGGGCATTGACTTTATATATTTGGGGGCAGATGGTTGGACAAAACAAGACATTTTGGCTTTAGAGTTGTATTGGGAATTTTCAATATTTTCTAACATTTTATACGTTATTTAATGGATAACGTTACTATATTCACATTACTATACCACAAAAATAACATAGTACGACACTGTTGATAGCATGATTGCATACCCCTTACGGTGATCTTAAGGACATCAGCAGCAAGCGATAGCAATTTACCACGATAAGTACTCTATTACTATTGCTTTAAATAGAGAAAAACTGTATGTCTCAATGTAGTTTTGCTGCTACGAAGAGCTGTATGACTCCAAAGAGACAGGCTAGTCAACAACAAAACCAACATTTAAATCCAACATTAATACACTGCTGAGGTCGCTAATGGGGCTAGCTAAAGCTAACGAGCCCCAAAACAGTGGGTCAGTTTAACTAGTTAACTTAACTTTAACTAGGTAATTTACGGTAAGGCATCAACACTTTGAGTAGGTAATCCATTTGGTGAGCACACTTACCTTCATAAAATAATTTGAAATAACAAATGTGAGGCATTACATTGCTAACGGCTGGGGTAACAGCGGCTTTAGTGGCTTTAACAATGTATTTTCTGTGCCCCGGAAGTAGAGTCGCAGGGGAAAATACTGCCGCCTTCTGGTGAGTAAAAGTGAAATATACATCATGAGCACAGACTGTAGACAGGATGGATATAAATACATATACTGAGATGGATAAATATGTACAGTGATGGTAATACAACTTATAGACTGTAGTAAATAAATGTATAACTATGATGTGATATACACAGGCAGTAATAAGGCTGAGATATAAACAGATTCTAAACAAGTAACCAAGTGAGCGGGTGGAGCCGCCGCAAGAGAATATTTGTGTATGGCACAGTACGTATAGTATAATATGGTACTAGTTTAAAGTAGTATATGGTGTAACACGGCAATAAAGTATAACATGGTGTATATGAGTGTTGTGTGAGTAAAGTTTTATAGTTGATGTTTCTGTGATGGTAGTCCAGACCACATGTTTCTGGTGCTGGAGTCCTGGTAGTTAGTCCGTGCTTTAAGTGTGGCACAGACTTCCTCATTAACCCAGGACTTCTGATTTGTGTGTGTCCGTACAGTAAGACATCACACTGGCACATACAGGTACTACAAAAAACAAAGAAAACTGAAGATTCAACAGGTGACAATGAAATTTGAGTGTGTATACATTTCTTTCATATTAAACACGTCTTTTATAGACATGGGTAATAATTTTGTGCCTTTGCCTGAACCTGAGTGTTTGTCAGCTGTCATGCTCCTTCAGTCCTATCCAAGTGGATCAGTGAACCAACACAGCGGCCATACATTGTTTATCCGGACATCTATACATATTTGAATCACCAAGGCTAAGTGTTATAAACCAAATAACCGACTTGTTAATAACTGTAAATGATCTGGGTTCAGATTAAGTTGTACTGGTGTACGAGCTGAAACCATGAAATTTGATTTTATGCTAACTGGGTGGCATTGTCATTATGAGACGTTCTGGCAAATTAAAAAGAGACAGGAAGCAGCTCTTTGCGATGTCAACCCCCTTTATCACAGGAAACAGGATCTCAAAACCCCAGCTGCAAAATACAGTTGGGCTCAGCAAATGCAGCCACCTCATGGTTAAAACTATAAAGATAACAACATAAACTATCATGTTCTGACACATTACACACTGACACTAACAAAACGTAGCATTTGCATTATGGAGCATAAAAGAGCAAACTTATACTGTTGAGCACTAGTTTCCATATGTAGTGGTAATATACCACAATATACACATATATTATACATATATATATATACACTGGTATACAATATATACAACTGTACACAGAGTGATCTCTGACTTTTTGCCAACTATAGTCATATTCATATTCATAATTGTAATCTTTCTTAAATAAACAATACGTTGTCAGTTTTGGCGTTGCCAGATTTCTACCCATGATTCTGTGCATTTAGCTCAAACTTGGTAGTCTATATAAACTCCTCCACCGTAACATTTGTTTTTGGAGTTAATCTTGTTATCCACACTAAATCAACACTCTTAAAAAGTAAGTCAACTATTTCAGATACCCATTCATTTCTGACAAATCCCAGTAAAACATTTTTATATATCATAGCTTAAAATCAAACGCCCTATGAAAGTCAATAAAATAATAAATTGTGGGTTTCCTGTATTTCAACCTGTTTCTAACCTCTGGAGATACTGTATGAGCTTTAAGCCAAGAGGAACTGGTAAGTAATAAGTGTAATAAGTAATAAGTGTATATTATCTAAGATGGAGGAATACAATTTATATACACAGCTCAACAACAAGGAAAACACCCTTGTGCACTCATCTGAGATAATAGTTTGTTTGATGTTTTTTTTTACTGTAAATTGAATTGGACTTTCCCAGAAACCACATGATCATGGAACCAAAAGTGAAAGTGGCATCACCCTGCAGAATAAAAGGAGGGGTCTGCACTGCGAGACTGTGGAGAGTGGAGCTTCAGCTATGGGACAGACTGACCAATGAATACTGCATAGCTGAAAAGAAAAACTCCTGGAAGAAAGAATGCAGCTTCACCAAGAGCACATCTCTTCTACAATGGTGAGTTTCTATGCTTTTTCTTTGTCAGTGATTTTTCTGTTATGTGTGTGATGGTTAACATAACATGGTGAGTAACATATAATTACTATATTATGAACAACCGATTATTCATGTAATATGATATTGTAGAGCTTTCAAGGCTTCCACTTTAAAGTCTTTCTTTGATTTACATACATTGTCAGCATTAGTACAACATCAGCATCAGTACAGTCACTGCAGTTATTTTAATGCTTTATGTGCATTTATTCGGCTTCTTTAAAACGATGATAGTACATGTATTATAGTGAAGGATGTAGAACAGACCTGCCGAGGTCTGCCTGCTGCATGCTCCTCGCAGGGGCGCACACAGCTGAAGTGGAAACTACCGAACACTACTGATATGTAAGGGAAAGTAATAAAGATACCATCTTCTTTCTGAGGTCCATCAGTGATGATAAATTATCTCCAGTCTATCGTTTATAAACGTCCAGAGCATCATCATACTTTACATAATATATACATTTCATATCATAATGTTATATAATCATAATGTTGTTGTTTGCAGCTAAACAACAAATAAAGACCTGAAACCTGCTCTCCTCTTATCAACCCACTGCACACATTTACAGGCACTTTCTACATTTACAGGCCATTAGTTTTCCTTAACAAAATATTTTTTTTTAAATTGAATTGTTTTTAACTGTATATGAAGGGGTAGTTTAAATTGATATGAAACAACTAGAAAAAAAATAATCTTTTTTTTTAGTTTGAGATCCTTGGGTTATTTTCATCAATGTGTTATCAGACTCAGTAGAAGTTCCTTTTACTTGCTAGGACTGGTCTGGAATTTGTGTGGTATCTCTCAATATTTCTGAAGGAGAACTTACTTTTTTAAATGTGGAAAAGTGAATGTTGTGTCAAATTCTATCCGTCACATTAAAGCTAAAGACTGAACAGTATAAATTGTTGTTGTAATTAGGAAAATAATGCATTCAAGAAGGCTGCATGGTATTTTAAACATTGTGAAGTATTTATAGTAGTATAGTCTAGCCTCAGATTTGTCTAATTTCTTTTCAGTGAGAAACTGTTTTAATAATCTTGACCAAGTGTGGGACGACTGAGACGGTACCCACAATGGAGGTAAACACAACTTAAGAAGATACACAAAATAAAATGGAAGTGATTTACCATAAGCTAATGTATATGGGATAATGAGTTGAGTTGTTACATTACGTGCTATATTTGTGATTTATGAAGGAGATCAGTGATGAAGATTCATTTGTTGAACTTTACTGTGAGGCAGTGGAGGACATTCCATCAACACCGTGTCAAGCAACATCTGACAGCAAGGGTGATTGTCAGACAGATCCAAGTGGTAAAGTTCAGCTTTATTCAATCTATTGTTCAGCGGAAAGTTACTAAATGAAGGGCAATCTAAGTAGCTTTCAGTTCAATCACTTTCATTATTATCATCATTATTATTATTATATTCACAGTGCCCTGCCCTCCATTTAAGACAACAGTTTATCGTGTCAGCAGTGAGCAAGTGTCTCTGCATTTGGACACTCCTGCTGGTGAAGTGAAGAGCTACATTGTGACCAGCTGCAGGGAAGGAGAAACTGTGCAAGAGAATACAGAAGACTCAATGCCCAGCAACCCGAGGCCAAACCTTCCTAAGCCTGGAGCATCTACACACACAAGTGAGTAACATGAAAACATAGTTCTAACAAAAATGAGGTATTAAGTCACAAAATCTTTCCCAGAGTGCAGATGCAATACAAAAAGAATGCAAAAGAGGAATAACATGGATAAATACAAACAAACACAAAATTCATCAAAATATACTGTGTACTGGTATTTACTGCTTCCAGGAACTAAAAGCAGCCTTGCAGCATTACTAGACATGTGGGCATATGTGCATGAATTTATTCAACAACATTCAACAAACATTTTATATCCACAGGGACACAACTGGAGGGCTTACTGGAGGATCTGGGATTGGAGCGGCACTACACAGAGAAGCTATCCCTGAGCACAATACTTCAGATTGATGAGAAGACCATCACTGATGAACCTGCCAAGTGTAACTCAGATCTTCCATGGTATTTTCTGAAGAAACTAATGATGGTTAATGTGGTAGCTAGGAATGTGAAATGTACATCTGTATGTGAGTCAAACTGTGATGCTGCATCAGAAAAGACAGAGTTAAATTTTGATGATCTTTTTAATGGTCCACATTCAGGTGACATGCTGAACCCTCTCGACATAATCACTGCTCTCTTTCTGTGTTCTGATGGTTTTGTACAGCAGGAAATGGCACTCAAAATGTCTATGTGTCAGTTTGCTGTGCCTCTGCTGCTTCCCAATTGTGACTCAAAGCAGTGCACACTCATGCTTTGGGCTTTGAGAGATGTTGTTAAAAAGTACAGACCTCAGTCACTTTCAGAATCCAAGGGCTTTATTGAAAACAGAATTGTTGTCTCTGAACTTCCAATGATATCTTTTGTGAGATTGGGTGAGTGCTCCTTGTCCAAGTCAGAGATCCTCAACATGCTTCTGAACAATACTCAGCAGTACCATAATACCTTTGTTCACTGTAACTTGGAGTGTGGTGACAGCCCAAGAAGAATATCCAATGGATTGGCTGAAATTACCTGGTACCTTCCTTGTGGGAACAAAAACATGGATGTTTTCAGTGAACCAGTAGCTGTAGCAAACCTTCGTGGGGACATTGCTTCATTTGAAACACAATTTTCATTTTTGTGTCAGACATCTGAAGCAGTTTTTGTGTTCTTTGACAATTTGGACTCTGAGTGCAAGCTGCTTATCAATCAAAACCACAAAGCACAGATCTTCCTGGTGGGTAACTATCAAAGCCAGAGGTTCAGTGTAGATGCTCTAAAAAAAGTAGCAACTGAGCTGCACTTAACTAACAGCAACATACTTTTGAAGGCTAACCACATGAATGATGCAGACTTTGTCAAAAAATTGCAGAACACAATCAGGGATGTAGTTGAGAACTCAAAGATGAAGATGGGAATTGAGAAGATGGCTGACATTGCCCATGAACTGGGAATCAGGGTTGATGAAGACTGTTCAGAGTGCCAGACTGCCAAGAAAAATGCAGATGCCATCACTACAGAAATTCAAGACATTTTTTCATACAAAGAAGCTCAGCTGCCGTTGCAAGGACAGATTTGGAAGGACCTGACTTGCTTGGAGAAGGAGGAATTTCGGCTTCGGAATGTTGGGTCTAAAGACATAGAAAAGTACAAAAGTGATCTTCAGTTACAGAAAACAAAACTTCGCAAAAAGCAGAACTCTTATGACATGTCAAATGCAATGTCATGTTTCATCAAGGCAATATCAAGCCCAGGGATTGAGAGGTGTTATTTCCTGAAATGGATGCGAATGAACCTCGATAACCTGTCTCGAGAAAAACTGTCTGGCCTCAGGGAGCAGTACAAAAAGAAATACAAAGAAAACAAAGAGGAGATCAAAGACATTGACAGACAACTTTCCAACAGCTCACTAGGGACTGAACACTTCTTCCGTGAAATGGGTCAGATCTATGAAGCATCACTTTCCCTTCCAGAAACAGACCCATCACGACAACAATTACAGCATCTGCCAAGACTGTGTGCACAATTGTTGCTTGATGGATTTCCCATTGAGCTTGTAGATGGAGATGCATCCAACATACCTCTCAGATGGGTGAGCGACGTTCTCTCTCAGCTCAATGACTTGGTGTGTCCTAAGAACAAGATACTGGTAGTCACAGTTCTTGGAGTCCAGAGCACAGGAAAGTCTACTCTCCTCAACACCATGTTTGGAGTGCAGTTTGCAGTCAGCAGTGGTCGATGCACTCGAGGTGCTTTTATGTTGCTCATCAGAATCAATGAAGATCTTAAAAAAGCTCTCAACTGTGACTTCATGGTGATCATTGACACTGAGGGATTAAAGTCACAAGAGCTTGCACAACTGGCCAATAGCCATGAACATGACAATGAGCTTGCAACACTTGTTGTGGGGTTGAGTGACATCACCATTATCAATATTGCAATGGAGAATTCAACAGAAATGAAGGACATCCTACAAATAGTCGTGCATGCTTTTCTCAGGATGAAAGAAGTGGGCAAAAAGCCCAAATGTCAGTTTGTTCACCAGAATGTGTCAGATGTTTCAGCCCATGAGAAGAACTTAAGAGACAGGAAACTGCTCTTGGAACAGTTAAACGAGATGACCCAGGCAGCAGCCAAGATGGAAAAGAAAGAGGAGAACAAGAGTTTCACTGATGTGATGGAGTACAGTCCAGACACTGGGAACTGGTACATCCCTGGACTCTGGAATGGAAACCCACCAATGGCACCAGTCAATGCAGGGTACAGTGAGGCTGTTTATGAGCTCAAGAAAACCATCATCCAAACTTTGGTTAGTTGTGAGTCATCTGCAAATAAAATATTGGATTTTACAGAGTGGATGAAAAGCCTGTGGAATGCAATAAAGCACGAAAACTTCATATTCAGTTTCAGAAACAGCCTAGTGGCTGATGCATACATGAGACTGTGCACAGAATTCAACAAATGGGAATGGGAATTCAAAAAAGAAATGTATACATGGATGACAAATGCTGAAACAAAAATATCTAACTTTGGTACAGTTGCTTTGGAATCGGAGATATCTGACATGGAAAAATATCTCCTTCTTTTGAAAAGTGAAGCTTGCACAGTGCTTTCTAAATGGGAGACAAAGATTCTTGAAAATCTGGAACAGTACTTCAAGCAAACAGAGGGTCATGTCTATCTAGTTGAAGGATACAGAGAGGACTTTGCAAACAGTGCAAAGACTTTTCGACGAGAAATGAAGAACTCTGTGTTTTATCAGCTTGAAGTAGCAGCTGACATCAGACGAGGAATGGCAGGAATTGACAGAATCAAGGAGAAGCACACAAAAGAATTAGAAGGGAGAGTGTGTACATTGATTGAGGAATGTCGGGGGAAAAAAGTTGAGATGACAGACAACGAGCTGGATGAAGAATTTGATAAGATGTGGAATAGAACAGTGAATGAACTATCCTTTCCTGAACTAAAGGCCACAAATATCATCACAAGTGTGTCCCACTGCCTGAGAGACAATCTATCACATAAGGGGAGTTATGTATGTGAATTATTAAGTCAAAAAAGCCTAGAGCATTGTGGACTGGTACCTTTCAAATATACAGCTGAGGGATTCTCCAACAAATGTAAAAAAACATTTGACAAGTTCTTGAAAGTATTCAACATTGAAGAACATGTCAGAGCTTTAGAAAAAATAGCTGACAGCATCATAGATGCTTGCACACAGGTTGTGACTGACAAAATGAAAAGGACAAACAATTACCATGACACTTACATCCAGGAGATCCTACACATGATTGACGAGAGGCTGAAAAACAATCAGGATGTAAAGAGTATAGAGATTGAGTTTGAAGTTTCTCTGAAACAGCACATCTGTGGAGATGCAGTCAGACAGTTTCAGAAAATGCAGAAAGATTTCCTACATGAGAATGATCCCTACAGATGTCTCAGTCAAAACAAAGAAAAGTTTCGTGCTGATTTCAAAGATTTGTTCAATGAACAAGACCAGTGCCAGAAGAAGGCAGAAGAATTCACAGAGTGCTGTTTTAGGCCTGCAGTTGAAGACTTTGTCAACCGTTCCTTGGGTCCTGATATCACTGGTGAAATGCAGACAAGCTTCGAGTTCAGCACACGAATGTTCTTCCAGTATTCCATTTTACTGGATCTGCTCTCAAAGAAAAACTATGTCAAGTATCTGAAATACATTCGCTCATATGAGAAATATGTAAAGGAATGGATACTTGACCGCATTGTGGAACACCTTTCAAATGGATCTAAGATGTTTGAGTTTGAGGATAAACATCTCCAGTCAAGTATCAGGAGCATAAATAATGCTATCAACAAAGCTAAAACAGAGAAGAGTGGCAACTTGAAGACATTTGTTAAAAATGTCTGTCAGGAACTTGGTGATAAACTGGTCATTTCCCAGGATGCTCTTGGTGCTTTCATGATCCTGAATAATGCTGACCAGGAACAGTTTGCTCACTGGCTCACTGAGTGTGTGAAGGACATGGAACACACTCTTAGAGAGAAGTTTAAAGAAACAAACATCCAAATGATACTACAAGCTCTTCATGTGAAACCTCAGAACGAGCTTTTCATCAAACTGATTGGATGTGGTAAACAGTGTCCGTTCTGTGAAGCTCCTTGTGAGGCAGGAGGAAAAGAACATAAAGAGCACTGCACTTCACTCCATCGGCCAGAGGGTCTGGGTATGGCCAAGTGGGATGGGACAGGAAAACTTGTCACTGACATATGCACTTCCTTAGTAATCAGTGATGGGTGTTTTCAATGCAATGCCACAAAAAGTGAATGGCACCCTTATAAGAGTTACACAGATATTTTCCCAGACTGGAGAATTGCTCCAGATAAAAGTCTTGAGGCATCAGACTACTGGAAATATGTACTGGCAAAGTTCAACAATGAGATTGCTGACATTTATAATTTAAAACCTGCTGATATTCCCGAAACTTGGAAAAAAGTCACAGACAAGCAGGCAGAAGCCAGTCTCAAAGAGTCATTTAACATCAAGTGAGAATACTAACCTTCCCCTCACTTGCTTTGAGTGTACAGAGGTACCCACTTGATTGTAGATTGTGATAAATGTGTGTAATCAAACTAATCTGCTTCCACTGTAGGTTAATGTCTTTGAGGTCAACATTAACATACATTAACAGCAGATTATTCTTTCGTTATTTGTTTGGCCTTTTCATGCCTTTATTTGATAGAGACAGCTGGAGATCGACATGAGGGGGAGGGGGAGGGGATGACACGCAGCAAAGGGCCGCAGGTTGGATTTGAACCCGGGTTGCCCGCTCTACCGACCGAGCTAACTGGGCACCCCTTCAACATTTTTAGATACTCTTTGATACTCTGAGTCAATGTGCAAGGTAGAGACATACAAATGGTTCCAGTTTGATGGGTTTGAATTCCTGATCTTTGTGTGAAACAAGAAACAAGTTAAAGTTTCTTCAAATATATGATACATAATCTTTTGGTTTTTTTTAAGCATCTCATATGAAACATTTACATTCTCTATACTTATTTTAAAGATCACCCTTCTTGTGGTACAGTCATAATGGGACAGAATGTTTTTTTCCTGAAGTATGATGTGCATTTGCTTTTGTTTGTGTCTGATGTCAAATATTTACTTTTACCTTTGTTTTTTACACATCACATCACCTGTGTTGTTGCCATAATATGTGATAATAGAGTGTATAATCTGTTTTGTTTATTAATTATCTGATGCAGAATATTTCAAAATACTAAATGATCATTCAGTCTAAATGTTAACATGTAGGTTACGTGAGTTTAATTCTAATCTGAGTATAATATGTGATTTTCTTAACTTAGAATTTATAATCCCTTCAATTAAGAATTAAAGAGTTAAATAACAATCAAATGATAATCCCTTCTATATGTGGTATTGTTTGCATGTATACTCTCATTACTTATTACTCTTATTACTCTTACTTACTCCTGTAAACTGACTCAATAAAGAGACAAATAGGGCAGACTGGCTATGAATGTCTTTAATGTTTCCCAGATCAGAATCACAGCATACAGTGTATAATAACTTCTAAAGTAAACAGAAATATCATCACCTCATTTATTTATATAGTTTTACTATACTTTTTTTTTAATAATCATATTTTTTAAAATTCCATTATTTAACATTTGTCTTCATCTCAAGTCTTGGGTTTCTGAATTCAACAAAGAATGTAAAAACAAGACAACAGGTGCAACTTGGCAATGGAGATCAAGCTGGAGAGTTGTGTGAGTGTCACTGTCTTTGTGTATGTTTACCATTGTGGGCTGTTAACCATGTGCTTCAATGCACCACTGACCTGACACTGGGTCTCCAAATAACCTCAGTGATATGGAGTCATCAGGTGTTGCCTTTTGCTTGGCTGTCTGCAGTTGTCGGGCACGTTAAGAATGAACCGAAATCCAGCCCAAACTGTGAGAACCACAGGGCTGCAGTGAGTCACTTTATAACATAGACGAGGCAGAGTGTGTGTCCACGTACATCCAGTCTGATCCACTGTTACACTCTTCACTGCTACATCACATCACTGTAAGGTCAACACAACCTCCACACCCACAATGCAACACAGTGTGAGGAAGGAAAAAGTCGGACCACGTGTGTGATCTCATTACTCTATGAGGATGTGAGGCATCTTATGGTGTCAAAGCCCTCATGTCTGTCCCACGTGTGATTAAGTGGCTACATGTAAACTCTGCTACATGTGAAGTAAGCTAACATTTCACTGTCTCAGTTTAGAAGTCCTGACCATCAACCACTGGCCAGTTCTTTACACCATCATCACATTAGTTAACTGGACAAAGGTGGCTTTTACCAGAGCTCTTAGCCTCTGAGATGTTTCCATAAATACTCTGAAGTCACACAGATTCATCAGGAGTAGAGTCGGATCGCGATATAAAGCTAAAGCTTGAACACAAAAAGAGTAGTTGATCCTTCAATGAAACCACAGACTGAAACTGGTGTTCTGATTTTAAAATGTAATATTCATTGGAAACTAGTGGAGATACATTTCTGCTACAGTGACTATCCTGGTAAGAAATCATGATGCTACAGGATGCCCACATGATAACGGGCAACACAATGAGACAAAGTGAAGTCATTTTCTAACGGCATGAAAAGTGATCAGTGCAAAGCATTTTTACTCACCAGTAAATTTGAAACCTCAAGTTAGTGGCCATTTTTTTGCAAACTGCACCTGTTGTCTTTTGTTGTCACAAAATAAGCGTTTCATTCATTCCTTCAACAAAAAAGAAAAAAAGAAAAACAAACAAGAAACTTAATATTTACAAATATTTTGTCTGTTTGATTCTTACACTTAGAAATGTACAGTTTTGATCCTCTTCCAGATGTTGTGTGTCTGTCTCTGTCCTGCCACCCAGTTTGGTATTTTTCTTCACACATCCAGTTTCCTCAGAGTGGGCAGACTGCAGTCAATGGCGCCCTCCAGTGTTAGCTTATAAAATAGACACGGAAAAATCGGAGCAGACTAAATACCTTGTTTCTGTTCTCACCTCCAGTGGCGTGGTGAGGATTACTTCACAACCTCTCACTGCCTCCTTATCCACAGGAGTGAGTACAAAAGGGTTCATGTGGATCTGATCAGACATATCAGATCCTTCGTAGGACAGATCAGCAAGGTATCCTTCCTGGCAAACATTGTGGGTAGAAAGATGGCCGTGCCTTTGAATGTCCTTATTTGCTAGAGATCAGTTCATCCTCTCTTTTGATTTTGATTTCTACATTTAAGTTTTTTTCCAATCTCCTCCCAAAGTCCCTTTCCCACAGTGTGCACCTCTACTGTCCATCATCTGTTCCACAGCATTTATCCACCTGCAGCACTCCCAAGTCAGTTGATTTGTGTTTTACATTGTGCACATTTCCCTTTCAGTGGGCTTACAAAATCTCAGGAGGGGGGTTAAGGGACACAGCAGGAAGGAACCGTGATCCTGTCCACCTCCATGTAAAACAAGGAACTTTATGTACGTCAGAAATAAAAGTAATAAGAAATTTGTATGAGAAACGGATTCAATGTAGATCTTTTACCAAGCGGACATCCTATTTATGCTGCAACTAACATTTATTTTTTATTTTTTTATTATCTCTGCTGGTTGTTTTCAATTTACTGTTTGTTCTATAAAATGTAAATAAATATTAAACAATTCCCATCACTGTTTTCATTCTTTAACAATTAACCAACAGTCAAAGATATGTATTTACTTCATATTTTCACATGAGACCAAGAATGCAACAGATTGTCAAAAGCGAGAAAATTTAAGCTAGGTAACATTGTACATAAATTATTCATCTATCATGCAGGGAAATTGCAGATACATTTTCTATCAGTCCATTAATACCTTCAGCTCTACTTCCTCCTGCAGTGATTACGGAGAGACTGAAGTGAAACTATCCTGTAAGTTGGTTAATTGATTGGTTGAACAACTGCTTGGTTTTAAAGACAGTTTAAAAAGTAAAAATGCATTACATTCCCTAATTCCAGCTGCAATGTGATGATTTCGACTGCTGTCTGTATCACTGTGAACTGAATATCTTTGGGTTTTGAAGCGATGGTTGAACACAACAAGACATCTGGTCACATCACCATGAGCTGTAGGAAATTGTGATGGGATGTTTTCATTATGGAGTAACACTGTAAAGACCAAATGATTAATTATGAAAATAATCGCTTTCAGATTTATTGATAACATATTATTCCAACCCTAAAAGTACGGAAGCCCTGAAGTGAGAAAAAAAAATCCTGGGCATCCATTTTCTAAGATCTAAATTATTTTCTCACCTGTGTTTATGACTAACAGAATAAAGTGAGCACTCTGCACTGCCACACTTAATCTAGAGGACAAATAATTAACTTATGAATACCACGTAGCTGAAAAAAAGATTTCAGTTTTGCCATGGGCAAATCCCTACACACTTCACATTGCCCACAAATTTAGTTTTACTGATAACTAGGTAATCATTTACTGTTTCTGGAAAACAAAAGAGAAAGTGACCTACCTGGTGTGATAAAAGGAGTGAAGTTCAGGTTGTTTATTATCCTATGAACAACAATTACAGTGAAGCAGTCATTGGCAATGATATCCTGAGATCTCAGGCCCCCTCCAACAATGCTTAGGCCTATGTAAATATATAACAAAGGAGGAGAGGTGGTACTGTAAAATAAAGTGTGAGTTAAACTAGACAGTTTTTATTGTGGGTCAATGTAATATTCCAGAATATGATGATGATGATAATATAGTTGCTGTGTTAGTGTTAGTCCCTATTAAAATATAAATATAACATAATTTGAAAGCAGGATCTAATCTGAATTCAACATTTTGAATACATTGTTGCCATAAATTGTTGCTGTTCAGTTCTGGTCTGATTTGTGTTCAAACTGGATTTTTACAAACAAGCCAATGGATGTAGGAATTAAGTCATATTGGATGACAGGTTGATTTTTTTATCCTTCATTGTCATTGTACATGGACCCAACATGGAAAATCCAAATCCGATGGCTGACAGCAAGACGCTGCAACCTGTGCTCAATAGTACCCCCAGTTTGTGCTTCTTATTAAGTGTAACTGAGTAATTCATATAGTGAATATTTTTGTTACTTGACTGGGCTACAAAGTTTGAATGTGTAAGACTGTGACATATATTTGTAAATATATAGTCTATGCTCAAACTCCTTTACCTTACCATGGTATTGTTGTATTCTTGGAGAAGTGTGTACTGTGTGTACTTGTCCTTTTACAAAGTTTTTTCTAATACTGCAACACTACCAACTTAATCTTAAGTCAAATTTTAGTCTCTATCAGGCATGTTTGTTTTGTCTGTTCATGAGCTAATGTCCTCTGTAGAGTACTTTATTAGTGACCTCAGTCCAACTCCAATGCAAGCTCCATGTTGGGCATGAAACGTACAAAATTATTGGGATGGCAATACATAATGGTTATTACATAATATATCCATGACAAACAACAAACAAAATGGCAAAAAACACTGAAAAAATGCAAATCCAACTACTCTGATTACAAAGCCATAACCACTCAAATATCCACTCCCTATAGGCTCCTCTATTTCAGCCAATCCCTGCCTTCAGCAAAGGGGGATACCGGGACAAGTAAGTTTCTCTTTAGTGGAAATCAGATCATCTATTTCTAGGAAAACAAAACAGAAAGTAACTTCGCCTGACAGAATAAAGGGAGGGACCTGTTATTGTACTGACATAAGTGCAGAGCTGTATCCTCGGAAATACTACCTATAGCAGAACATTGCATGTACAGAAGACAAAAACTCCTGGATAAAAGATTGGATACTATCTTTACCATGTATAAATCTCTCCTACAAAGGTAGGCCCCCCCTCTCTCTTTTAAGACCTATTACATATGAGCTTTAATCCTCCCATAGTGGGCTGATTACAGTATTGTTAGTAGTGTTATTTTTAGTGCTGGGCAAGTTAACGCGTTATTATCGCGTTAACGCATTCATTAATTAACGCCGACGTATTTTATCTCGCATTTACGCCATTTTTCTAAATAACTATTATTATTTTGAAAGTCCGTTGCTCACTGGCTCTAAATACAACATCCAGACAAATCATGGGTCACAGGAGGGGAGTGTAGGGAGGCTCCGGCAGACTACGTTGGATGCAGTGTGTGGGAGAAGTACAGACAAGCTAACAAATGCCATAGTGAAGTGCATAGCTTCAGACTGCTGGCCGATTAGTATTGTGGAAGATAGGATCTATAGAAGAAGAATGCACGAGTTGTATGAAAAGAAGAGGACTACAAAAGCGACGGCGTTACATCGTGCACCAACTCTTGCTCTCACTGGAGACTACTGGACATCGCCTGGGTAACCATAGTTACCTCGGAGTTACAGTGCATTATATTGATGGACAGTGGGAGCTGCATTCACATGCTCTGACCGTAATGAAAACAGAGAGACATTTTGCTTGCACAGCAGTGGAATGTTTCAAATAAAGTCAGCACACTGAGCACAGATAGTGCAAGAAATGTTTTAACTGCTACTGTGTAAAGGCAATACTGCTGTTAAAAAGCAACTTATTTGTTGTGTAAAGTTGTGTAAAGTACTTTTAAAATAATAATGCGCAATACACTACTTTTGAATTCATTATTGATATATTTCTGCGAGTAACCATGCCATTTATTGCGATTAAACATTTTAACTGTGCCCAGCACTAGTTATTTTTTGATATTGTAGACTAGTAGGTTGTAGAGTATTTGTATTTTTAACTATGTGATTGTTGGGTAAAATCAATTGCTGTTGGGGAGGAAGGTATTACAAAGTTCTTCTCTATTACTTTCAGTGAGATGCAGTGTGAATAATCAGAACCAAATGTGAGATGGCTGAAAGTGTACCCACAATGGAAAGCTCAGATGAGGAGGTAACAATCTTTTTTACAACTCTAAACTTACAGTTAATAATTAAAAAAGTATTAAATGAATGGGATTCTGATTACAATTGATTTTTTACACAAATTACCAAGGAGTTCTATGATGCAACTGAATCCTTCCCTGAGCAAAACTGTGAGAAAGGAGAGAACACTCCACCAACAGCACAGTCTGACTGTAAGTGTGTCTGTCAATTACTGATCCAATTTAAAGACTGAATACACACTGTATACTGAGATGCACTTCTCTTCTCTTATTTCAGATGTCCCTCCACCTGAAGTAACAGTTCTCAATGCTGATCAGGAGACTGTTTCTCTTGGTTTACCACTCACTGATCACTCTGTTGGGTATAAACTGCAAGTAGATTACTCCTGTGACACACATAGAGACAGTTTGATCACAAAGGACTACGGCACTGTGAAGGTTGAGGGACTGAATCCTGGGACTGAATACACTTTCAGTATCACAAGGATTGCAGATAATGGAAGTCAAAGCAAAGCAACCTCGCTATCTGTCTTCACAGGTAAATCTGTAAATCAGTAAAAAAACAACAAAGAAACTAAAACAAACATTAAAGACAGTGTTGTCTGAATGGTATTTGGACTCATATACAATTGTACTTTTACACTGATGCTTTCAAGTTATGTTATAAAGGTTAGTATATATAGTATATATGTATACAGTATGTGTATGTGTCTTTATCTTTTACCACACCTCTTGTGCTTGGTAGTCACACTGCACCTTAAGTGTAGTCAAACCTTGACAGAACTTGAATCTCCATTATATGTGAAATATAATTGTATATTATCCCCACAGAGCCCAGCCCTCCTGCACAGATTGCTGTCTATCAGGCCAGCAGTGAGTCACTGTCTCTGCGTTGGGACCCTCCTGTTGGTGAAGTGGAGAGTTACATTGTGACTTGTTGCAGTGAGGGAGAAACTGTGCAAGAGTTGACAACAGACACAAACAACCTGACTCTCAGCGACCTGAAGCCAGGGGCGTGTTACTCCCTCCATGTTTCTGCACAACATAGGAATGGAAGAATAAGCAAGGCGACTGTAAAGTCTGCCCACACAAGTAAGTGAAATAAAATCATTATTGTAATGATTTTTCACAATAGAGTCAACTATTTTTTTGAGTCTCTGTTTAGACTATGTATTCAAATAAAAGAGGAATAAATTATTTAAAATAAAATACAGCCCTCTCTGCAGAGACAAAAGCTCAATTAAAATTAAAGCTGCAAAAAGCAGCGTCACGTGCCGTCGGGTTGTGCTGCGGCCACGTTACGTGCCGTCGTAACAAGCGCGGACCACAACATGAAAATGTCACGTAAATCAGCTCAAAATTGCCACGCAGGACTTACTTCCTGTTGCCACTTGGTGGCGCTATCACTATGTGTTCAGGGCGGGACTCTTATCAGACAAGTGAAGTTTGGAGCCGATTGGACAATGTACACTCAAGTTAAAGCAAATTCTTGTTTCGTGGCGATACATCAAAATTTATCGCCACGCCACACACACGCCCCCTCACCACAGTCAACACATATCAACAACAATGTGTTTTACATTTTATGAGTACATTTCAGCTGGATCTAGGAGTAGAACATGAAAGCATAAAACGTGATACTTCCTGTAGTTCTTCATTTTAAAGAGCGCCACCTAGTGGCGATGGCCTGAAATTGTGCACAATGGCTAAGGAAGACATGGGGAACTATGGACCCAAGGTTGGTGTCAATCGGACATACCAATGTGGAAAAATACTCCACTTCCTCTTTTGAACAAAAATCCACAGGAAGTGCTAATTTTATAACATGCTTATTTTTAGAATTATCAAAATTCTTTCAATTAGTTTATTATTAGGACGGTCCCCAGATGTTACGTGCAACATTTTGTGAGAATCGGACAAAGCACGAAAAAGAAGTTTACGGACATTTTGTGCTCTAGCCGAAAAAAACCTCGGGGGGGTAATGTGCGTGGCCTATATGGGGAGATTCAGCTTCATTCACCGAACGCGTGGATACATGTTTTTTGAATGTGTGACAAATTATACAAAAGTTATTAGCCTAAATGCACTTTAAAATATAAAACGTGATACTTCCTGTTGCCACTAGGTGGCGCTCTGAGTATTACTGAATATTATCCCATAGACGTGTTCAGGGCGGGACTCTTATCAGACATGTGAAGTTTCATTGCAGTCGGATCATGTACGCAGAAGTTATGACGAATCCCTCTTTTTATGGCGAAGGATTGAAATTGGATGCCACGGGACGCCACGCCACGGGCAGGAGGTTTGACAAAAAAAACTGAAGAGCACAACTTTTAATGGTGAATGTGTTTAGATGGCTGTGTCCAAATCTGAAGTCGGTCCAATAAATGCCCTAGGAGGAGTTCGTTCATGTACAACGTGTGCAAATCGCGACAAAATCCAAAATTGCCGACTTCCTGTTGGGTTTGAGGTATGGGTCCAAAAGACTTTTTTGCTTCTTTTATCATCATACACATGCGTAGCAATTTTCATACATGTCAGTCATACGTGTCTTGGGGGCTGACTCTGGGGGGCGTGGCTAAGCCATTTTGCGACGCCCATCCACGGGACCAAGACAGTACCTCGGCGTTCAGAACCACCGAATGCTGTGCAAATTTTCACGAGTTTTCAGGCATGTTTAGACCCCCCAAAAGTTGGAATTTTTTTGATTTTTGCCGCATCGCCATGACAACATGGTTCCATGCAAATTCTTAAGATTCATAATATGTGATTCTTATCCTCCTATGGAGCTTTTCACATAATTTCAGCTGGATCTGGACAATATGCTTGAAGATATAAATAAAAGTACGAAAAATACATTTCCTTTCACCACTAGGGGGTGCTCTCACTATTATCAGACAAGTGAAGTTTGGAGCCGATTGGACAATGTACACTCAAGTTATAGCAAATTTGTGTTTTGTGGCGGTACATCAAAATTTCCCGGCACGCCACAGACACGCCCACTTACCGCAGTCATCACATATCATCAACAATGTGTTTTGCATTTTATAAGTAAATTTCAGCTAGATCTGATCATCCTGCTAGGAGTAGAACATGAAAGTATAAAACGTGATACTTCCTGTTGCCACTAGGTGGCGCTCTGACTATTACTGAATATTATCACATAGACGTGTTCAGGGCGGGACTGTTATCGAACATGTGAAGTTTCGTTGCAGTTGGATCATGTACGCAGAAGTTATGATTAATCCCTCTTTCATGGCGAAGGTTTGAAATTGGATGCCACGGGACGCCTCGCCACGGGCACAATGTTGGACGAAAAAAACTGACTGCACTGACCAATTTTGAAGTAGATCCAATAAAACCTGTAGGAGGAGTTAGTTAAAATAGAAGCCCTGAAATGCCAAAAATGACATCACAGTGTGACATTCGTTCAAAATGGCCAACTTTGACGGCACGCCACGGACCCGCCCTTCAACGTACAGTCATAAATAGCACAACTTGTAATCAGCAACATTATTCAAGAGTACTGTCAAGTTTTGAAGCAGATCTGATAAATTCCAAAGGAGTTTGTTCAAATACAAGACCACAGACTTCAAAATGGCCAACTTTGACGGCACGCCACGGACACGCCCTTCAACGTACAGTGAAAAAATCAACAGCGTTCATTCAGCACCATTTTGTGACTGTACTGACCAATTTTGAAGCAGATCCCAGAAATTCCCTAGGACGAGTTCGTTCAAATGCAAGGCGAAAATTCACAGAAAATGACCACGGACTTAAAAATGGCCAACTTTGACGGCACGCCACGGACACGCCCTTCAACGTACAGTTACAAATTGAACAGCGTTCATTCAGCACCATGTTTTGACTGTACTGACCAATTTTGAAGCAGATCCGATAAATTCCCAAGGAGGAGTTCGTTCAAATACAAGCCCAAAGAGTCAAAATGACCACAAAGTGATGAAAATTAAAAATTGAAATTGCAGACTTCCTGTGGGTTTCTGGGCATGGGTCTAAGAGGCTTTTCTGCTTTATTTATCATGATACACATGCGTAGCAATTTTCGTACATGTGGGCCTTACGTGTCTTGGGGGCTGATTCTGGGGGGCGTGGCTTAGACGTTTGGCGGCGCCCGTGCACGGGGACAATGTCATATCAATATTTTAGCTATGTTTGAATTTTGTGCAAATTTTCATTCCATTTTGAGGATGTTGCGGGGGCCTAATATGCGGTTGAACTTCCAAAGGTATAATAATAATAATTCCTAGAGGAACAATAGGGTCTTTCAGTGCTCGATCCCTAATAAAGTTTTGATATTAAAGCTCCTTCACACCAGTGGTCCACCAACACAGAGATCCTCTTAGGATGATGTGGGTTTGTAGAGACATTACTTTATTGTCATGGAATTCTGAATGTCTGCAAGATATAGTATGTAAACATGGACATGTTTACTGGACATGTGTGATTATGTGAATCTGAAACATAGTGGGTCAATAGTATAAAAACACTTCCCTATAGCATTTCCTAATGACATTAATACCAAACATACCTCAGGCTTCAAGAACTAGGAGGGGATTTGTGACATCTTTGCCCTTTTATGAACAACCCTCCCCAAAACTTCCATATAAAGCTTATCATATCTACAGACTGGACGCAGTTAGCTGCAACCATTGGCCGCACTGATGATTTTCAAGAAAGTGTTGACCTGTATCACTGTTACTGCTGCACTTCCATTAAAAACAGGTAACAGCAGCTTCTGACAGGATGAAACTTACAGTGAGACAACATCTCGACTTAACTGACCTGTGTGTCTGAGCCCTTTGGTGACCCGTGGAGTCCCTATTAAATGATACATTTCCCCCTATCAATACTATATTCCATTTCTGTCAATAGATCTAAATGTTACACACTGAACCTTTAATTTATCAAGCTGCTTTAAAGCAGCAACAAGTGAGATAAACTGAATAGTTTGACAGAAAGTTGGAATGTTAAAACAAAACCTGACTTAGGATTTCTGAACTAGCTATTTACTTAATGTATTTTTGTTCAAGAGTCAAAAATATTGTATTTACAGTGCCGTAGTTGCAACAAGTAGGTTTGAGAAAAGACAACAGATTTATTGGTCTGCTGCTTTCACAGTTACTGCTCAATAATGAAAATGTACTTTTCTCCATTACAGTGCAAATGCATTTATTCTAGACTCAGTTGCTAGTTTATTAAGTGCAACAAAAGCTAAATGAGTGCAGTCTAATAATACAACAGTTACAATACAATACACACCTACAATAAATTCTTTCTGAAGATTTAAATGATGTGTATTGTGAAGTGTTTTTAAGAGATTCACAAAAATGGATATTTTTTACGTTACATAGAGGCTTTTTAGAATATTTTGGCTCCCCTCACTGATATAAATGGGGTCATATTCTTGACTGGAAACATTACAAATTGGCATGGCATATGCACAGCCCAATGCAGGAGGGCTCTGCAGTGGATAAACCGTCACCCACCATCATTGTTGTCTGCACAATAACAAAAAACTATTTTATTACTTCTTATTTATTCATCCATATGATCACTCATTCATCCATATATTAATCAATTATTATATAATTTTTGTTTTGTGAGTAGCATAAAGGGACTACAACTTGCATGTTTTAGAAGAATAAATGAATCTTGTACCTTGTATTAGAACCTCCTGTCAGTGTAATACCATACAATTCAACAGCACAACAAAATTAAGCCTCCAAAAGGACCTTGAATTTAAATGAACAAAACTAAAAACAATATAATACATTTCGTAAAGGTAGGATTTAGTGCAGCACTCTTGTATTATACTGCATTAGTTTCAGCTAGGCTTAACTGATGAACTGGCAACTGAGTATATTACAATTAATTTTGATTTAGTATTTAAATAAATTCTGGATTTAATAATCATTGTAATCATGTCTACAGAGACACAACTTGAGAGCTTCTTGGAGGATCTGGGATTGGAGCGGCATTACACAGAGAAGCTATCCCTGAGCACGATACTTCAGATTGATGAGAAGACCATCACTGATGACACTGTTAAGTGTAATTCAGATCTTCCATGGTATTTGTTGAAGAAACTGATGATGGTTAATGTGACAGCTAGGAATGTGAAATTTCCATCCATGTGTGAGTCAAACTGTTGGAATCAGTCAGGAATTACAGAGTTAGATCTTGATAATCTGGTAAACAGTCCACATTCAGGTGACATGCTGAACCCCCTTGACATAATCACTGCTCTCTTTCTGTGTTCTGATGGTTTTGTACAGCAGGAAATGGCACTCAAAATGTCTATGTGTCAGTTTGCTGTGCCTCTGTTGCTTCCCAATTGTGACACAAAGCAGTGCACACTCATGCTTTGGGCTTTGAGAGACATTGTTAAAAAGTACAGACCTCAGTCACTTTCAGAATCCAAGGGCTTTATTGAAAACAGAATTGTTGTCTCTGAACTTCCAATGATATCTTTTGTGAAACTGGGTGAGTGCTCCTTGTCCAAGTCAGAGATCCTCAATAAGCTTCTGAGCAATTCTCAGCAGTACCATGATACCTTTGTTCATCATGATATGGAGTGTGGTGACAGCCCAAGGAGAATATCCAATGGATTGGCTGAAACTACCTGGTACCTTCCTTGTGGGAACAAAAACATGGATGTTTTCAGTGAGCCAGTAGCTGTAGCGAACCTTCGTGGGGACATTGCTTCATTTGAAACACAATTTTCATTTTTGTGTCAGACATCTGAAGCAGTTTTTGTGTTCTTTGACAATTTGGACTCTGAGTGCAAGCTGCTTATCAATCAAAACCACAAAGCACAGATCTTCTTGGTTGGTAACCATCAAAGCCAGAGGTTCAGTGTAAATGGTCTAAAAAAAGTTGCAACTGAGCTGGGCTTAACTAACAGCAACATACTTTTGAAAACTAAGCACATGAATGATGCAGACTTTGTCAAAATATTGCGGAACACAATCAGGGATGTAGTTGAGAACTCAAAGATGAAGATGGGAATTGAGAAAATGGCTGACATTGCCCATGAACTGGGAATCAGGGTTGATGAAGACTGTTCGGAGTGCCAGACTGCCAAGAAAAATGCAAATGCCATCACTGCAGAAATTCAAGACATTGTTTCATACAAAGAAGCTCAGCTGCCGTTGCAAGGACAAATATGGAAGGACCTGACTTGCTTGGAGAAGGAGGAATTTCGGCTTCGGAAAGGTGGATTTGAAAACATAGAAAAGTACAAAAGCGATCTCCAGGTACAGAAAAACAAACTTCGGGAAAAACAGAACTCTTATGACATGTCACATGCAATAACATGTTTCATCAACGCAATATCAAGCCCAGGGATTGAGAGGTGCTATTTCCTGAAATGGATGCGAATGAACCTCGATAACCTGTCTCGAGAAAAACTGTCTGGCCTCAGGGAGCAGTACAAAAATAAATATAAACATTCTGAGAACAAAGAGGAGATCAAAGACATTGACAGACAACTTTCCAACAGCTCACTGGGGACTGAACACTTCTTCCGTGAAATGGGTCAGATCTATGAAGCTTCAGTTTCCCTTCCAGAAACAGACCCATCACGAAAACAATTACAGCATCTGCCAAGACTGTGCGCACAATTGTTGCTTGATGGATTTCCCATTGAGCTTGTAGATGGAGATGCATCCAACATACCTCTCAGATGGGTGAGTGATGTTCTTTATCAGCTCAATGACTTGGTGTCTCCTAAGAACAAGATACTGGTAGTCACAGTTCTTGGAGTCCAGAGCACAGGAAAGTCTACTCTCCTCAACACCATGTTTGGAGTGCAGTTTGCAGTCAGCAGTGGTCGATGCACTCGAGGTGCTTTTATGTTGCTCATCAGAATCAATGAAGATCTCAAAAAAGCTCTCAACTGTGACTTCATGTGATCATTGACACTGAGGGATTAAAGTCACCAGAGCTTGCACAACTGGACAATAGCCATGAACATGACAATGAGCTTGCAACACTCGTTATAGGGTTGAGTGACATCACCATTATTAATATTGCAATGGAGAATTCAACAGAAATGAAGGACATCCTACAAATAGTCGTCCATGCTTTTCTCAGGATGAAAGAAGTGGGCAAAAAGCCCAAATGTCAGTTTGTTCACCAGAATGTGTCAGATGTTTCAGCCCATGAGAAGAACTTAAGAGACAGGAAACTGCTCTTGGAACAGTTAAACGAGATGACCCAGGCAGCAGCCAAGATGGAAAAGAAAGAGGAGAACAAGAGTTTCACTGATGTGATGGAGTACAGTCCAGACACTGGGAACTGGTACATCCCTGGACTCTGGAATGGAAACCCACCAATGGCACCAGTCAATGCAGGGTACAGTGAGGCTGTTTATGAGCTCAAGAAAACCATAATCAAAACCTTGGTTAGTTGTGATTCATCTGCTAATAATATCTTGGAGTTTACAGAGTGGATGAAAAGCCTGTGGAATGCAGTAAAGCATGAAAACTTCATCTTCAGCTTCAGAAACAGCTTAGTGGCTGGTGCATACATGAGACTGTGCACAGAATTCAACAAATGGGAATGGGAATTTAAAAAAGAAATGTACATGTGGGTGACAGAAGCTGAAACAAAAATTTACAACTTTGGTACAGTTGCTTTGGAATCTGAGATATCTGACATGAAAGAATATCTCCTTCTTTTGAAAAGTGAAGCTTGCTCAGTGCTTTCTAAATGGGAGACAAAGATTCTTGAAAATCTGGAACAGTACTTCAAGCAAACAGAGGGTCATGTCTATCTAGTTGAAGGATACAGAGAGGACTTTGCAAACAGTGCAAAGACTCTTAGACGAGTAATGGAGAACTCTGTGTCTAATCAGCTCGAAGCAGCAGCTGACATCAGACGAGGAATGACAGAAATTGACAGAATCAAGGAGAACCACACAAAAGAATTAGAGGGGAGAGTGTGTGCGTTGATTGAGAAATGTCGGAAGAAAAAAGTCAAGATGACAGAGAAGGAGCTTGACACAGAATTTGATAGTATGTGGAATAAAACGGTGAAGGAATTATCGTTTTCTGAGCAAAAGACCACAGATGTCATTGCAATGGTGTCCCTCTGCCTGAGAGAAAATCTGAAATGTAAGGGGAGTCATGCATGTGAATTATTAAGTCAAAAAAACCTGCAAGATTGTGGACTGGTGCCTTTCAAATCTACAGTGGAAGGATTTTACAAGCAGTTGAAACACAGACTCAGCAAGCTCTTCAACATTGAAGATCATGTAATGGCTTTACAAAAAACAGCTGACAGCATCATAGATGCTTGCACACAGTGTGTGACTGACAAAATGGAAAGGACAAACAATTACCATGACACTTACATCCAGGAGATCCTACACATTATTGACGAGAGGCTGCAAAACAGTCAGGATGTAAAGATTGAGATTGAGTTTGAAGTGTCTCTGAAACAGCACATCTGTGGAGTTGCAGCCAGACAGTTTCAGAAAATGCATGAAGATTTCATACGTGTGAATGATCCCTACAGATGTCTTAATAAAAACAAAGAAAAGTTTTGTGCTGATTTTAAAGATGTGTTCAATGAACGAGACCAGTGCCAGAAGAAGGCAGAAGAATTCACAGAGCGCTGTTTGAGGCCAGCAGTTGAAGACTTTGTCAACCGTTCTTTGGGTCCTGATATCACTGGTGAAATGCAGACAAGCCTCGAGTTCAGCACACGAATGTACTTCCAGTATTCCATTTTACTGGATCTGCTCTCAATGAATGACTTTGACAAATATCATAGCTATATTTGCTCATATGAGAAATATGTAAAGGAATGGATACTTGACCGCATTGTGGAACACCTTTCAAATGGATCTAAGATGTTTGAGTTTGAGGATAAACATCTCCAGTCAAGTATAAGGAGCATAAATAATGCTATCAACAAAGCTAAAACAGAGAAGAGTGGCAACTTGAAGACATTTGTTAAAAATGTGTGTCAGGAACTTGGTGATAAACTGGTCATTTCCCAGGATGCTCTTGGTGCTTTCATGATCCTGAACAATGCCAACCAGGAACAGTTTGCTCACTGGCTCACTGAGTGTGTTAAGGACATGGAAGAAACTCTTAGAGAGAATTTTAAAGAAACAAACATCAAAATGACACTAAAAGCTCTTCATGTGAAGCCTCAGAACGAGCTTTTCACCAAACTGATTGGATGTGGTAAACAGTGTCCGTTCTGCAAAGCTCCTTGTGAGGCAGGAGGAAACGAACATAAAGAGCACTGCGCTTCAGTACATCGGCCACAGGGTCTGGGTAGATTTAGGTGGGATGGGTCAGACAAACTTGTCATTGACATATGCACTTCATCCGTGATCAGTGATGGGCGTTTTCGCTGCTATGCCACACATGGTGATTGGTACCCTTACAAGAGTTACACAGATATTTTCCCAGACTGGAGAATTGCTCCAGATGGAAGTCTTGAGGCATCAGACTACTGGAAATATGTACTGGCAAAGTTCAACAATGAGTTTGCTAAAGCATATAATGCAAGACCTGCTGATATTCCTAAAACTTGGAAAACAATCACAGACAAACAGGCAGAAGCGAGTCTCAAAGAGTCATTTAACATCAAGTGAGAATACTAACCTTCCCCTCACTTTGAGTGTACAGAGGTACCCATCCTCCTTTCATGGATATTTTCATCTTGTTTGATATAACAAAGAAGAGAATCACATGTAGTAACATACTGTATATAAGATGACATGTTTGACGATATTGTCACTACAGTTCAACATTTTACCATCTAAGGTTTACAATAGGGATGGCAGAAACAAAATCACTGCAAATACTGCTCACCTTGATTGAAGATTGTGATAAACATGTGTAATCAAAATAATCTGCTTTCACTGTATATTAATGTTGACCTTATCAAGATTTTAAAATACTCTTTGATACTCTGACTCAATGTGCAAGGTAGAGACATACAAAATGGTTCCAGTTTGATGGGTTTAAATTCCTGATCTTTGTGTGACAGATGAAAGCCATTGTATAGCTACTCCTATGAAATATTTACATTCTCTGTGCTTATTTTAAAGCTAATTCTTCGTGTGGTATTGTCATAATAGGACAATGTTTATTTGATTACGCATGATGTGCATTTTCTTTTTACCTTACTTTTACCTTTGTTTTTTACACGTCACTCAGCGTGTGGTGTTGTCGTAATAGGACAGAAAGTCAAAAAATGATCATGTGATTATTTACTCAGAATGTAGAATGTTTTTGTTTATGAATTATCTGATGCAGAATATTTCTTAAGTACTAAATGATCATTCAGTCCAAATGTTAGCATGTAGGCTACATGAGTTTTATTCTAATCTGAGTACAGTCCCTGACAAAAGTCTTGTCACTTATCCATTTTGTAGAAACAACAGCTTATAACCTGATTTTTAATTAATCCATTGGTTTTAGAAATGGCTCATATGAAAGCTAAAACCCTCCCAAATTATGTTTAATATACTAAAATAAATTTGCTTCACTGAAGAAAGATTGATCATTTAATGAACACAGAAAGGTCAGATTTTGGCAAGACAAAAGTTTTGTCGCCTACAGAGAGTAATGTGAAAATTGAACAAATAATTTACTTCAAATACAAAAATATGTTGCATAACATCAGTGAATTAAGTAGTGGTGCTGTGAGATCCATATTTAATATCTTGTATTACTTCCATGAGCTTGAAGGACTGCATCCATGCGGTTCGACAATGATTCATACAATTTATTGATGAAGTCATCAGGAATAGCAAAGAAAGCAGTCTCACATGCCTCCCAGAGTTCATCAAGATTCTTTGGTTTCGTCTTCCATGCTTCCTCTTTCATTCTACCCCAGACATGCTCAATGATGTTCATGTCTGGTGACTGGGCTGGCCAGTCCTGGAGCACCTTGATCTTCTTTGCCTTGAGGAACTTTGATGTAGAGATGGAAGTATGCGATGGAGCACCATCCTGCTGCAAAATTTGACCCCTTTTATGGTTGGGAATGTAAGAGGTAGCTAATACTTCTTGATATTTTAGGCTATTGATATTGCCTTCCACCCTGCAAATCTCTCGCACACCCCCATACTGGATGTAACCCCAGACCATGATTTTTCCGCCACCAAACTTAACTGTTTTCTGGGTGAATCTCGGATCCATGTGGGCTCCAGTAGGTCTCCTGCAATATTTGCGGCGGCTGTGATGTAATTCAACGGAAGATTCATCTGAGAAATCCACCTTCTGCCACTTTTCCAGCATCCATCTTTTTAGCAGGCTGTGGGCCTTGGCAAATGCCACAGGTTTTTTTAATTGCCTTTTGTTTAGTGCTGGTTTCTGGGCACTGATTCGACCATGGAGGCCATTTCGAGACAGACTTCTACAAACTGTTCTGGTTGATACGGGGACTTGAGGTGACCAGGCCTGGTGGAGCTCTGCTGCAGTGGAAAAGGGACTGGCCTTAGATTTTCGAGCCAACAAACGGGCCTCCCGAGCAGTTGTCTTGCGCTTGTCAAAAACATCTCCAGTCTCTTCAAATCTTTTTCTTATTCTTTGTACTTGACGCTAAGACACATTGAAGGTGTCAGCCACCTCAGCAGTGGATCTGGTCTTCAGCCTCTTGCTAATCAACACTTTGGTCTCAGGGTGAATCTTAGGCATGTTGTCAGAGGTCAAGTTGCAGTTGATGTGAAGGTCTGGTGTGCTGGGGTTCTTTTTATACACACCCACTAATTGATTGATCAATTATTGATCACAGGTGAGGCTGTAATCTAGGATTGGGTGCATCATATGACAAGGCGACAAGACTTTTGTCTTTGCAAAAACTGACTCAGTGGGCTTTACCAAGGTGTGAACGTTAGAATGCTTTTCAGCAGTTTTGTTTGGCACCAAAACATTATTTCAAAAGCTGTTGGGGTTGAAATTAGCCATTTCTTGTAAAAAAAAAATTGATTAGACATATATTTGAGGGGCACTTAAGGTCAACTTGTACCCAAGCGACAAGACTTTTGTCAGGGACTGTATATGTGATTGCCTTAACTTGGAATTTATAATCTCTTTAATTAATAATTAAAGATTTACATAACAATCAAAACACAATTCATTGTATATGTGGTATTGTCTGCATTCATGCATTACTTACTCCTGTAAACTGACTCAATAAAGAGACAAAATGGGCAGACTGGCTATGAATGTCTTTAATGTTTCCCAGATCAGAATCACAGCATACAGTGTATAATAACTTCTAAAGTAAACAGAAATATCATCACCTCATTTATTTATATAGTTTTACTATACTTTTTTTTAATAATCATCTTTTTTAAAATTCCATTATTTAACATTTGTCTTCATCTCAAGTCTTGGGTTTCTGAATTCAACAAAGAATGTAAAAACAAGACAACAGGTGCAACTTGGCAATGGAGACCAAGCTGGAGAGTTGTGTGAGTGTCACTGTCTTTGTGTATGTTTACCATTGTGGGCTGTTAACCATGTGCTTCAATGCACCACTGACCTGACACTGGATCTCCAAATAACCTCAGTGATATGGAGTCATCAGGTGTTGCCTTTTGCTTGGCTGTCTGCAGTTGTCGGGCACGTTACGAATGAACCGAAATCCAGCCCAAACTGTGAGAACCACAGGGCTGCAGTGAGTCACTTTATAACATAGACGAGGCTAAGTGTGTGTCCACGTACATCCAGTCTGATCCACTGTTACACTCTTCACTGCTACATCACATCACTGTAAGGTCAACACAACCTCCACACCCACAATGCAACACAGTGTGAGGAAGGAAAAAGTCGGACCACGTGTGTGATCTCATTACTCTATGAGGATGTGAGGCATCTTATGGTGTCAAAGCCCTCATGTCTGTCCCACGTGTGATTAAGTGGCTACATGTAAACTCTGCTACATGTGAAGTAAGCTAACATTTCACTGTCTCAGTTTAGAAGTCCTGACCATGAACCACTGGCCAGTTCTTTACACCATCATCACATTAGTTAACTGGACAAAGGTGGCTTTTACCAGAGCTCTTAGCCTCTGAGATGTTTCCATAAATACTCTGAAGTCACACAGATTCATCAGGAGTAGAGTCGGATCGCGATATAAAGCTAAAGCTTGAACACAAAAAGAGTAGTTGATCCTTCAATGAAACCACAGACTGAAACTGGTGTTCTGATTTTAAAATGTAATATTCATTGGAAACTAGTGGAGATACATTTCTGCTACAGTGACTATCCTGGTTAGAAATCATGATGCTACAGGATGCCCACATGATAACGGGCAACACAATGAGACAAAGTGAAGTCATTTTCTAACGGCATGAAAAGTGATCAGTGCAAAGCATTTTTACTCACCAGTAAATTTGAAACCTCAAGTTAGTGGCCACTTTTTTGCAAACTGCACCTGTTGTCTTTTGTTGTCACAAAATAAGCGTTTCATTCATTCCTTCAACAAAAAAGAAAAAAAGAAAAACAAACAAGAAACTTAATATTTACAAATATTTTGTCTGTTTGATTCTTACACTTAGAAATGTACAGTTTTGATCCTCTTCCAGATGTTGTGTGTCTGTCTCTGTCCTGCCACCAAGTTTGGTATTTTTCTTCACACATCCAGTTTCCTCAGAGTGGGCAGACTGCAGTCAATGGCGCCCTCCAGTGTTAGCTTATAAAATAGACACGGAAAAATCGGAGCAAACTAAATACCTTGTTTCTGTTCTCACCTCCAGTGGCGTCACTGTAGCTGTGTTGTGGTGAGGTTTACTTCACAACCCCTCACTGCCTCCTTATCCACAGGAGTGAGTACAAAAGGGTTCATGTGGATCTGATCAGACATATCAGATCCTCCGTAGGACAGATCAGCAAGGTATCCTTCCTGGCAAACATTGTGGGTAGAAAGATGGCCGTGCCTTTGAATGTCCTTATTTGCTAGAGATCAGTTCATCCTCTCTTTTTATTTTAATTTCTACATTTAAGGCTGTGAGTCTTTTTCCAATCTCCTCCCAAAGTCCCTTTCCCACAGCGTGCACCTCTACTGTCCATCATCTGTTCCACAGCATTTATCCACCTGCAGCACTCCCAAGTAAGTTGATTTGTGTTTTACATTGTGCACATTTCCCTTTCAGTGGGCTTACAAAATCTCTGACAGGAGCAGCCAGGTATATCTCCCCCCTTCCAGCCCTCCCCCACCACCCAGTTAGGCAGTAATAAAATAGAAAACAAACAGACTAAAGCTAGAGCACAAGCAAAGACAGCACCGGTGACTAACTTCTCCCATACTGGATGTAGGCTACCATGTGTTCCTGTGGGCTCAAACAACAGCACATCAGTTCAGTTAACATAACCAGAATATTACCCATGATCCATGTTTGAGATCCTTAGCTGAGAATCGTAGGGGGGCATCGCTGAGCTGTAGCCTGCACATTCTCACCCAAAGAAAAGAGCAGAATCAGAAACAGCAGTTATCAACTGTGTTGCTTTTACCCTGTTTAGGAGATCCGAGCCTACTTTTCATCTCGCAGCTCTGCGCCGCAGGCCATCAAGGCCCACCGGTTACCCTCGGTGTGCTTAGAGTTAAATTTACAACTGATGAGCTCACAAAAAGTCACTAGCTTAGTGAATTAACCCTTGAATGTGAGGACAATAGCAGAGCTGAACTGAGGTCAGAAATTGTGTGGAACGGCACTGACACAGTGAAGTCAGGGGTTTTGGAGTTTTGTGGTGACAGCATGGGAGTTTTGGGTGATCACTGCATTATGGGCGTCAGTTCTGAAAACAAAGGTAGTGTACTGACGGACAGAGGACATGGGAGGAGTAAGTGATGTTGACATGGATGGGGGTGTTTGGGTACGCAGCAGGAAGTAGCTAATTTCGGAGTCTATGTTTTGGGGGTGATCCTGCCTGTCTGCCTCTCTATGTCTTTGCTGTCTAATTAGGGCCCACCTATGTCCACGTGAAGCAGTTCTGATATCACAGACACACACACACACACACACACACACACACACACACACAAACAAACAAACAAACAAACAAACAAACAAACAAACAAACAAACAAACAAACAAACAAACAAACAACAACAAACACACACACACACACACACACACACACACACACACACACACACACAGACACACAGACACACAAACAGACAAACATAGAGACACACTCTTTCTCTCACAGGCACACATCAAACAGAATATGCATGTGCTGGAAATAGGGGTGCAGACAGGAGAAGGAAGGTATTCGTAAAAGAGCAAAAGCTGTCTGTCTCTGCTTTTTTTCTCACCCTCACTAAAATACAAAAATAATTCTGTACAGGCAAACTACAACAACAGATGTGGTACCTGACGTACCCGAAGCAAACAATCATCTCCATACTGATGGAAAGAAAGTAGCTACTGTAAGATGAAGGGCTTGCTGTTGGCTTACTGTTGGCGTGCTGCATTATCTGGTTGGAGAAATATGTCTAAATAACCTCATGAAGGAGAGAATGAATGGAAGAGTATGTTCACAGTTGTTGCTTTGACCCTAACATCTTCTGAGATTTGTGGCAATTAATAAAAGGGTATTGGGAGGTGAAGAGGATTTGTTGTGTTACTTCCATTTCCATGTGATGTTCTTGTTCTGTGAGGAAAAACAAAAAATAGAATATCCAGAGCGGGCGATATGATTTGATTAGATTTGGGAAACGTGCATTGACAGATACAGTGTCCTTTCCCCCACCATCATCTTTAAAAATAATTCATGCATAGATCCCCACTGAGAAAACCCATTTATATACTTTCTCCTTTGTACACATTTATATATAACTATATATAATATCATTTCTCTATATCTATATTTTCTGCAAAAATTCTTTCCACAAAAAACAACAATTAAACAAATGCTTGAAAAAAAGAAACAGAAGATGAAAGAAAAAACACAATCAAGGGCCAGTTTGGCACTTTGTCATGGGAACACACAGCATCTGTTAATTGACAGTAAATAGGAATACTCTAGAATTTCCTTTACTTTTTTTCTCCCATGATGAGAAAGCAAACACAGTAGTACATACTTGGCACCAAGAATGCTGGTAGAATGAAAGTATCAGATATCAGCGTTTTCATAGCTATATGATTACTCTATGCCCCCTCCTATAGCTCAGTAGTTTTTGAATCCTTAGAGCAAAGGAGTTTTGGGAGAGGGAGAGAATTACATGTCGAATGAGAGGAGCAAAGCAGGGATAAGACACAGATGTAGAAAAGAGAACGATATATGCACAGAACACACCAGGGAGACAGAAAGAAGACGCCAAAGTAAAAAAAGGGAAAACTGCAAGGGGCGAAAAGCATTTGTCCCTTTGTCAAATGTCAGGGGGCTTTAGTCTGGAAACAGAAGACCTTCTTTGAAAACAGTATCTTTTAAAGATCTAAATCACCCCAAAACTGATCATCTGCTGCCATGCAGTTCAGTTGCTTCCACGCCACGCCACCAGTGGAGCTGCTACGTTTGACAGCACATGATGGAGGAGGTGGAGTTGTTTTTGGAGAAACAAGAGAATAAGAGAACAGAACAAAGGCCCACATCCAGAGGCCTCCCTTCTAGATCAGTGGCAGAGCCAGTCTTCCTGGTCCTTAGGTGGCATTGTGTCGGGCCAGTCCCTACTATACCCTGGTGGTGGAGTGGGGATGGGGCAGGGTGTTGTTGTGGCCGGTGGAGGGGAAGGTGTTGAAGGCATGAAGAGGCTGCATGCTGGTGATAGTACTAGGGATCATGGTGATGGTGTTAGGTGTCATCAGCGGCACGTCGTCAGGGGCACGGCGCAGTGCCAGCGTGTAGTCAGGTGGGCAGGCGGGCCGTAGGATGTCATGAGGCCGGAGTGGCTCCATGTCATGGTGAGCATCGTGCTCCGAGTGCTTCATCTGCAGGGACATGATCTCCTCCTCCTGGCTATGAGCCAGGTCGTTGGCAGGTCCACCCCGCTGAGGAGACAACCGGTGCCGTCGCATCTCGTGCCGCTTGTCACGCTTGTAGTAAAGGGCGGCAAAGGCCAGGATGTTGAGGAAGAGGAGCGACGCCCCCACAGCAACTGTCACACTCAGCTCAGTAGAGTAGTCCCGGGTATCTCCAGGGAAGAGGTCCTGGTGTGGACGCTCTGAACCCTCAGGCTCCGGATCAGATGGGAAGGTAGGGTAGGGGTGACGAGTGGTGCGAGGGCCAGGTGTTCTGGGCCAGGGTCTGTGGGTTCCTGAGCCAGGGCCTGGTGGCGAGCGGGTAGTGGTGGGGAAGAGATCATCATGCAGACTATGGAGGTGGGGGACTAATTCCAGCCAGAAGGCCACCTTGTTGGCCCTGTAGTTGTCTCTAACACGAGGTTTTAGGCCAATGTGGAGGTACTGCTTGTCCTTCGAGTTGAACTTGGTCCAGATGACCTCTTCAAAGCGGTTGGGCTTGGTGTGAATGAATTTGGTGTCTTGAGGGACTGGCAAGTTGGGGTCCCTAGTGGAGGACAAAAAGCACATCAAAGTTATAGGTTTCAAGTCAAGCTTTCAATCAATGTGGTTCAAAGATTTCTTCATTGAGTTGACATCTAAACACTTAATACACCCTTGTTTTCTAAGTTTTTATGTATGAGCAGAGTGAGACAGGGCATTAAACTTTTAACAACTCTACCAGTAAGATCAGCTCCTGCCTCTCTCCTATTAACAGGGCACCAAAAACTACTGAAGAAGCATTACTCTAGAGCTGGTTAATCCTGCAGTCGGACCAAAGAGCAAAAAGAGAACTAATGAAAGAAATCATCAAGCAAGGCTTACCCAGTCTTGGCAAAGTTGGTCCAGTAAGTCATGACCACAGCGCTCAACATCACGTCATTCTTCGAGAAGTTGCATGGAAATAGGTCAGTGGCACCGATCATGGGCACGCCAAACACATACGGTATCTCATCTCCGTGTGCGGCATCAGCCCATTCTGGGTCGCGTCTCAGTCTGACAGTGGTGGTAGAACGTGTAAAAATAAACCGGGGACTGAAACTCGGCGTGGAGCTTGGCGGTGGCCACTGCTGGTGCCACCCACTGGTGGTCGGTAAACAGAGCTAAGAGGGTCTTCCTTCGCATGTCGCCATTGTCCCTGTCCGCCCAATCTGTGTACATGAATTTAATGGTTTCCCTCAGGATGTCTTTGCCTGGAGGACAAGACGCGGGAGGGGAGAAAAGACAAGGAAAAAAAGGAAAAAAGAGAAAACAGTGATATGGTTAGAGGAAAGTAATGACAGCGATAGAACATTTTGAGAGAGGAGAGTGGTCAAGAGATGTGAAACAGAGGGTGGAGGAAAATAGAAGTACACATTGCTAGGATGAACTGGGATGACAGGAATAAAAGATGTGTTTGTATGTCGGTGTGAGAGATATAGTTGAGAGAGAAACTGAAAGGACAGACTGAGCAACACAAAGGGCAAAATAGAGAATATGCCTCTTAGAGACCAGAATGAGTGACAGGCACTTGAGAGGGAGCGTGACTGCATTATCCAAATGTGTCTGTATTTTGACTGTGGCCCGCTGTGAGGGGTTTGCAGGCTGATCTGTTAGGAACAACAGCACTGTGATTGGGAGCTGGCTGCCTGGGGGATGATGAGAGACAGCATTAGTGCCCACAGAGCCTCAAAGGCCAAAGCGCAGACCCACCACGGTGATAGATAATCTCGATGATAGGCAATCTCTTTAGTATGCCCGTCTTGGTTGATACACATTGCTGGGCTCACTGTTTATCTCTTTTCTCATTCTTTGCTCACATAATGTTTTAAACACTTTTCCACTGGGAGCTGCAGTTTTTCGACAAGTTGTTGTTGATGTATTTTTTGTAGAAAGCATATGATAGTGTCAAATAACAAAAAAATGGAGGACCTCTTTTTCTGTAGTGTGCAATGTCACATCTAGCTCAAGTGGAGAAACATTTTTATTGCATTACGTCGTATGTCATTATTGTTTTGTGATAATGACTTGTGTGACTATTGTTTTTATTTTGACAATTTTCCTTTAATTTCAGTCTTGTGTGTGTGTCTGTGTGGACCCAGGAAGATTTCATCTAATGGGGCTTCAAATAAGGCGACACACACTGCAAAGGTCATCTGAGAGGCAGTAGCGGACATAACATGGAAGGCTTTAAAAGCCTGAAAGGAGTATAATGTTGGCATTCCTCACCCTCAGGGTAGCCATAGAGGTTGTCGACAAAGTTAGAGATGGTGTAGTCGAATGCTGCGGCTGAGATGCCATCGTTGTCCTCGCTGTCGTCCACAAACTTCAGCCCCTCTCCTTGGTTCACTCCTATGAGGATGTCATAGTTGAGGAACTCCCCCTGGTGGAGCAATAGGGGAAGAACATGTTGAGTGCTGACATTGCATTCAAAGAGCAGGATTTCCAGTCTACTGTACATGTCACAAATCTAAAATAAATACAGCCATGAATGCTCTGGAGTACAAGTCAAATAATATTTGTCAATATTTTGTATGTGATATCTATGCCATACAAGCTATTGTATACTACGAGCTCAGTTAGAGACAGTGACAAGAAATCTAGTTTTCTGTTTTAATACTGCCACATGTTGTCCATACATCACACTCAAAGATAAGTTCTACAAAAACTGTAGTTTTAAAGTCTACACTCTCACTTAAAGCACTAGCTCAATAGACCTTTTTCCATTAGGTCAAACAGAGTCAGGGTGCTGCTCTTCTACATGTTGGCTCACTGGAAAGGCTCTGCATCTGTGTTTCCCCTTCTATTTCATGTCAAAATGGCTGCTGATAAAAATGCCTGTTGAAGACTTTGGGATACTCACCCCTGATTATTTCTTACAGATTATGAATTGTTTGGTGGATCTAATAGGAGAGTCTGATAGCAAAGTAGCTGCAAAACTCAAACTTATTTTATACCTCAACATCTCTAATACAAACAGTAACACTGGAAAAACTACCGTTGTTATTTAGTGATGAACTGTATTTCTTTTTACCTACTTTCCTTCAGCGTGTCTCATTTTGTCCACCTTACATGCGAGAGTTCCATTATTTCACAAAATGACTTTCAAATTACAAATGACTTCAGCTTTGTGTCATAAGACCATTATGTGACAGCAATATTAATACAATGACAGTGAGGAGAAACATATGCATGTAAAATGTGACGTGACATGTAGCCGCAATGTGTTATAGTCAAAAGCAGGGGTTCCCGAACTGAGATGAAATATGAAATTAGGATATTTATCTTTTGGACTATTTCTTATTGTTTCTTTGTCCTTGTGAAATGCTGTATAGTTTTACCTTTTAGCGCAGTTGTTCCAATGAAGCTGAGAAGGGAAAATCACTCCTTGATCTCTCAACAACCATGAGTCTAAAATACACCACTGAGGCAATGTACACCACCAACACTGCAGCTGTTTTCCACTGTGTTACAGCGTTATAGGGTGTGAATTCACACCAGCTGGTGAACGTCATCGCCAGACCCCCAACTCTGTGGAAAGGTCACACTCACACCTACTGCAACAAGTTCTTCGTGTTCTCCTCTGTCTGGTTTGTCATCACAGCTCACGTCACTCTACTTGCACAATAAAAATCCATTATAGACCTTTGATACTGATGCCAGACTCTCACCTGCTGCATGAGGATCTCAGGATCATCAGGCACCACGTCTCCATCCACCACGGGGCCAAAGGCAATGTGGTAACGGGCTGGTTGGATGTCCTGGTCCACCAGCTCCCTGAAGTTCTTGCGCCTCAGGCAGTCAACCAGGTCGGCCGTCTCTGTGTAGGTGCAGCCAACCTTCCGGGCCAGGATCTTGGTGTACTTGAGAGGCTGGTAGTTGACAGACCAGCTGGAGATGGCAGTTCCACTCTGGGCTATAGCCCTGTGGAACAGACCTGAAAGAACAGAAGAAATTAGGTGTTTATATTACTATACTCTGGGATAAATTTGGCCTTTTAACATCATGGTAAAATGTTGGTGATCTCACTAAATGTCACGTGCATTTCCCTCAGTTTTTAGCATTTTAGCAGGCAGGATGGAGCTCTTTGAAGTTGTCTGACTGAAGTACAGTTTTGGGATAGGGCAGGATGCAGAGAGACTACTTGAAGTGTATATCACATATCACGTTCTATTTTTTCCTTTATTAAATATACTACCAATTTTGACTTTTTTCATCTAACCATTCTCACTGAAGCAAAGCTGGCAGACAGGGGATGGGACTACAGACCCAAAGCAACTCAAATAGAGTATGCTATGGTACCGTAGCTCCAAGTTAATAAAGGCAGGAGTGGGAATAAGCTCATCTGAGACGTCAAAAGAGCCATTTTCCTCCGTCTTGTGCTGGCTGTTTCTTCTCTCAGCCTCTCTCTTGCTGTGTTTCTCCCTCCCTCTCTTCCTCTTTGTCTCTCTCTCTGTCTCCTTAGTTCTGCCTGTCCTGTGCTGTTTGAACCACTCAAGTGGCTCGTTAAGGGGCCGCCTGCCTCACTCGTTTCCTCTCGCGCTCCTTTTTTCTTTCTCTTCCCTCTCCTGGGCTGAAGATTGGTCAGTTAATTATTAAGCAGAGCCGCAGAGCCCCCTTTCCCTGGGAAATCAATTATAGTAAAAAGTAGCTTGGAAACAGCTATACCTACATACAGTATCTGCACTGAGAGAGGCAGAGGGGGTGAGACAGACAGAGAGAGGTGGGAGGAAGGCATTATTTCATTCGTCTTCAAAATCAGTTTCTTTGTCAGTTCCTAAGTGCCTTGCCTGCTCAGTACATTCTTCTATTTGGCTACCTCTCCCTTCTGATATGCCACATCAGGGCATTTTCTTTCATCTCCTCATTTTCCTCCCTCAACAGTGTTCTTACCTCACCTCCTTTTACCTTAAACACTACCATGGATACTGCCCCCCCCCCCATCATATCAGTATCACTTACAACCCCTCCCTCCATCCTGTCTGCCACTTCCATCCTGCCATCCATCCTGTGCGTCTCTGCTGTCAGGCTTGATTTGTGACGCGTGTGTTGTTGACATGATTGGTGTCCCTTAAGGGTGGGGATGACAGGCTCCTTACCTGGCATCCCTGGCGGGGGAGAGGGGGGAGCATGACAGACAGGCGGCGTCTAGAGGGCTGATGTTACACCGTTAGATGCTGATGAAGACGAGGACGATGATGACGATGGGGTGATGACAAAGCGGAGGCATGAGAATGGACAGGTGGCAGTGTGAGTGGGTTGGTTGTCAGCAACGGGAGACATGGGGTTAATACAGGCTATCCCCACCGTTAGGGTCCCTCTGCTGCTAAAGTGGGGCTCCCCTGAAAAATTAATGATTAAACTACAATGACTGTCAACAGTACTGGTTGCCATCTAAAAACACACAGTTTTTTTTTTTGTTTTTTTTTTACAGAGAATGGAGAAAACCAGTTTACATAAAGTCTGGCCATCTGAGAGATAAAATTACTCATTAACATTTTAAAGAATACACTTTTTCATAGCACAATCATATCGTGCCTATCTGGAACTAACTAGGTAATTAGCTTAGCTTAGCATTAGGACTGGAAGAAGGGGAAAACAGTGAGTCTGGTCCTCATAAAGTTTAAAACATCTTACCAACAAATTTGAAGTTCACTAATTAACATCTGTTTTTTTAATCTGTACATAAAGAGAAGGGGAGTTATGTCCTGCGCAGTGCAGCAGCACAGGGGATGGATGAACTGCTCTTTGGCAAGAAATAGTTACAGTCTGTCTTTATGTTAAGCTAGGCTAATTATCCTGACTCTGGCTCCAGAGTTATTTACTTTTCCCATACTCTTCTTTAGCTCCATACACAATTTTAGAGTTACTCTTCAGAATAACAGGTGGTTGTGCTGTTAGTGAGGCGATGCCAATCCTCAACAAGGGAGTGCACTTTGATGTTTTTTCCTTTGTACAGTTCACTTACTTAAGATTTTCTTGTCAACATGCTTTGTATTTACACTTATACAAGCCATAAGCACTTTGTTATCATGATATATAACAACTGGGGTCTTGGGAAGTTTCTAACTGCTAAGTGGGTCACCTAACAATAAGGGAAAAAAGATTGGGTATGTCTGGGTTGATATGAACGGTTAACAGACATCAGTGGTAACGACAGAGGTTGTGTTAAATGGACACAGTGAGATGCTCACTCAAGCTTTGATGACACACATTGGTTCGCAAGGCACATCTACACAAGACAGAATGAGTCAAAGTTAGAGACATGTTAGACATCTGTTCGGGTGCTTCAGACACTAACACACACATACACACACACACACACACACGGATACACACACGGATACACAGAGAGGTGATTGAAACAGATGTGTGGTTGTTTGAACACACTCTCCCTAATCTCTCTCTTTCTTTTCACCCACCACTTCTTCCCTGTTCCTGTCCTTTGCAGTTTGTGTGTGTGAGACGGAAAATGAATAGAGGAGAGAAATATTGAGGGAGAGTCCTCGAGCAGCGAGGAGAACAGAGAAGTTACGATTGGAGGAGGACAGCTTCAAGAACAGCATGATCAAAGGCAGCGAGTGCGTGACCATTTGGCTGCGGGTCGTCAGCCACACTGATCTCAATTCAGATCAAAGTCGATTAGTCCGTAGGCCTCTCTCTTTTGGTGGTGCAATGTTAACACTTAGCCCTCGGGGGTGTTGTTGGTAATGGGGAGCATGAGGTCAGATGGATGTAGGTTTTCGACGGCCTCTCTGCTGCAGAGCAGTGGACTGTTAACAGAGCCAGGAGCGCTGGCCGATTCAGGTAATGTGGGCTAATGTTGGAGCTCCAGTGTCATTTATCCTCCACAGACATGAACCACATAACCTGGATCAAACGTGGACTCGCTCATCAGCCACATGACTGCTTAAATTCTTCAGTTCACGGGATAAGCAGTGTTATCCTTTGAGGATCGAGGTGTCAAGCGAACATGACAGGACATACCGATTTCTGGGCTGGATGCTGCTAGTTTCCATCAGACCACATGGGTATAGCAGGGCCTTGCTGCTATGATTACATTTTAAATTGGATAAAACATGGGTCATTAAATAGCCAAAGGTTAAATAAAGGCACAAAATGTATTTTTTTGTTTAGAGTTTCAACCCATCAGTTAAGTAATTTGTTGGTGTTTTGAGTGTTTCTTTTGAATTTTTTAATGTATGTTAATGCTTCTACTGAAAGAAAAAAAAGCAAATGAATGGTGAGGTGACAGATCAAGAATAATGGATGCTGTACCAAGAGAACACACAAACAAACACAATGCAAGAGAGTCTTCAATTACCCTCCGAGTGGTGCGAGAGGATGAGGAGGTTGACGCAGGACGCCCCAGCTCCGGAGCCGAAGATGGTGATCCTCTCTGGGTCTCCGCCGAAGTGGCCGATGTTCTCGTTGAGCCAACGCAGGGCCTGAATCTGGTCCAGCAGGCCATAGTTCCCCTTAGCAGACTGATCACCGGTGCTGAGGAAGCCTGGGTGTTTGTAGAAACAAAAGATGGATGGAGGAAGAAGGTGAGGGAGGACATTTAAGAGAGGACAGACGGGAAAAGAACAAAGAAATGGAGGATACAGAGGAAGAAGGGATGCAGAGAGGGGAGAAGAAAAAGAGAGACAAGATGACGTTAGTATTGGTACCTTTAGTATTTAGTACCTGTCTGGCAAATGTTCCCTACTTTGGTCTGTAAATCAGCTTCTGACTGAGAGGTAATTGCATGACTGGAGAGAACAAGTGTGTATGTGTTTGAGTGTGTGTGTGTGTGTGTGTGTGTGATGCAACACCGTCATTCATCAACAAAGAGTGACAGACGGTACACAGAGAAAGCAAAGGGAGTGAGAAACGAAATTGCTTTTTCAGCTCCTCTCTTAATGACGTTTACTCTGTCTAATGGCATTGAGCGGGGACCTCAGTATAGCAGCTTGCACTCCGAGAAATATAGGTGACCCTAATCTGAATCACATCCGTAACTGGATTACAAGTGCTGACACATCGTGCTTGGAATTTAGGATTGTACAACATCTTCTTTTTTATTTTATTTTTGGGGAACAAACAACTGTCCTTCATCAATATTGTTATGGATGAACTCACTTTAACAGTAGCTACAGGCTTTTTCACAGCAGATATTTTGACTTGTCACAGTAGGAAAAGTACAAGTGTTACTAATAACATTTACAGTGGCTCTGTTCTATTCAAGTGTCATGGCAGTGTGACAGTGAGGCAGCATGCACAATACCACAACCCTGACACTGAAGCAGCTAAATGGAATTCAGCCATCATTCATTTTATTATATATACCTGTGCTTTTCCTAGTGTGACATGCCAAAATGTCTTCCAGGAAAAAGGTCTAAATAAAAGAATCCTATAACGGTATGATAGTCCTTGTCCTATTGTGCTTGTCCTATATCATAAAGGAAAAGATGTAAATAAAGAAATGAGAAACGTGATCTGGTTGGAAATGTGACTTTTTTTCCCCAATTCCTAGATGTAGTAGTTGTGAGCTGCATAATACAAATGCTTAAAGCAGCCGTAGATAACTTTTTGACCTATTTGCTGCAACTTTCACTATATCCTGACAGTAGTACATGAGACAGACAATCTGTAAAAGAAATCAGGTTGAATAAAAGGCTTGAATAAAAGCAACCAATCAGAACAGAGAAAGATTGCCGAGTGTTGACCTACTGCAGCTTTAATTTGCATATGTAATGTGGACAGCACCTACATGCAGCACTGTTAGTATGTTAACTGTTTGTTCAATACTTTGTCCGACCTTATTGAGTTTTAATTGGTTCATTGTAATGATTGTTGTTTTATGTGCCTACATCTGACACGAAAAGCTGTTTGCCCATCAAATTTCCGCCGTGGAGTAATAAAGTACTGAATATTCCTCAAAGACGATCATTCATTCATCGGAGCACTGTAATAATAGTTCACCTCTTCTCCTGTTAGCTGACATTTGCCTCTCATGATTGCTGCTGAGTATCTTCGATTGTTCCACCAAAGACTTAAATCTTTTCTATTTAAGTACCCATTAACTGGCGGCCTCTCAGATCCTAATGGGACTCCTAATTAGAACTTTATTAAAGGCAGGTGCATGGGAAAGGTCATCCATTAAGCCTGTACAGTATAGGTTAAACACTTGTATATCGTGAGATGCAAGGATCCGCTTTAACACAAACACGAGCTGTTCAAGATTTCCAATTAGACCCCAAACAACACCATAGCCATTTATCAATTCATTATACATCTGTTCCTGTGTTAAATGCTAATTACACTGTAAAATAGGTAGGTAGCTGGTTAGGAAGGTGTGACAGGTATTCCTTTTAAGACATTTATTCAGGATATAGACAAAATGTATGGTCCAGTCCTTTGTATTAGTAGTTCTGGGTTTAAGGACATAAGCTGTGAGTCTATGTCTGTGTATGTATATGTGGGCTAGAGAGGATTGAGAAATTGAAATGTATTATTGAGAATGTAAAACAATACTTTATAGTAAAACTGCAAGAACATGTTAACAGAAAAATGCAAAAAAACATTAAAAAAATATCCAACTTACTCACAAAACTTAACTACTAATAATGTATCAGGTATTACACATAAACTACATGAAATACACTGCAGTGACAGGCATTAGTCTGGCTAGAACTCACTCAATAACAACACTTCTTAGCAAGAGCCAGTCTACTCCTCTGTACCCATTCACGCTGCCACCTTGTGGCGACAACACAGCAGAAGATCTGGACTCTGAATATTACAAAAATATTAGAGAGCACATTTGCCTCAAAACTGTAATACAGAACAATAACATTCACTTAACCTAAGTCATTAACAGACACACAAGAAAAACAGGAGGTTCACTTACACACTACAACTACATTATAAAACTATAAAACTTCTTTACATTAACCACACTGCAGCAGTTATCTGCCAACTGCTGAAAGGGCTTTTTTTCTGCATGGGAGAGGCGGTGGCTCATTACTAGCCTACTGAAACTGGCCCATGGAGTGTAAAGGAGTATGACTGTTATTTTGTTCATATTATCTGATCACCCTTTTACACATACTGTAGATAGTTATACTGAGTTTACAGTTGCATTTGACCAAAAACTATCCACCTGTAATATGCTGCACTTCTGTTTGGGGCTTATACTTACTGAGGTTCACAACATTACCCTATGAGTTCTCTCTTCATCCTGCAAGTACAACCAAAATCAATCAATATTTATCACCTCAAACGATGCATAAAAACAAAAGGGATCTAAGCACCTATCAGTAAGCAGGATATGCATTTACTGGCGTTTGTGCTGCTCTTTAAACACCACAGACACACACCAATAAGCTGCATGTTTAGGTGCATTAATTAAGCCAAGCACAAACAACAGTCACATAAGCTGCCTAATGCCCCACTGTAATCACCATGATATATTACATAACCAATTATGCTTATGAGGTCATTAATTAAGCTAATTAACACAAAACATAACAGTGCTCCTATGTCAGTGTAGTTTCTTGCACAAAATATATGAGCAGTGTTCATATAAAGTCCAGATATTTAAATGTGGAAAATTGGAAAGAATAGTTTTTCACCATATTTGTGAAGCAACATCATCTATTGCTATGTTTTGCTCTTTAGTTACTATTCAGAAATGTGTACTGTGCTGGTGGCACATTACAATACCAAAGCGACAGAGCACACACCCAGCGGACACCCAAGATCCGAACGCTATCTTGTTACAGCCAAAGCCGGTGTCTTTCCTGCACCTTCACGCTGCGTCCACCTGACTGTGAGTCAGTGTACAACAGCGGGCCACTTCACCCATCCTCCCCTTCCTCTATAATCTGATAAAAGGCCTGAAAAAACAGAGGAGCTGGTTAAAACGCCGCAATGCAAGATGAAAGCGCGGCCCTGCATGAATAGCCTTTAAAATGGCTGTGGTAAGGAATGGTGGTTAGAGGGGGTGAGAGAGAGAGTAAAGGAAAAGGAGAGAAGGATAGTGGGTGTTCTGTGAGTCCCGGATAGAGGCACAGTGTTTCATCCTGCCTCCAAGACACCAGGGGTTGGCTCAAACACACACACACACACACACACACACACACACACACACACACACACACACACACACACACACATACAGATACACACACACACGCACGCACGGGGACACTGATCAAAGGCTGACACTACAGAGAAGACTGCCTCCTTTTCTCTCTCTCTATCCCTCTCTCTCTCTCTCTCTCTTCCACACACACAGAAACAGACGCACATGACACGTATGCATGTGAGCACACAAAGACAGAGGAATAATGCAAATACATCCAATTCTCTCCCAACCGCACATGTAAACAGGGCACACATAGGAGTGTGCACACACACTGCATATGTATAATCATTCTAACGTGCAAGCGCCCACACAGACCCGGTGCACGCACCCTTTTTCCTATGTATTTTGAGCAAACACACAAACTCTTTAGTGTATCTATCCTGCAGTCACAATGAAGCAGCAATGGGCCTTTAATGTGCCATCAGAGAGCCGTGAACCTTGCACATGTTTTTGCTGTGTGTATGCAGCCATACTTGTCACAATGATTTGTGTATGTACGCAGAGGTGCACACATCTGTGACTTTGAGCCCAGCCATACATGTGATTATGATTTGTGTGTGAACTGTGTGGCTGCTGGGTGACAAACAGTGCTTCTAACACACTATATCCCATGTGAATTCATTGTTAGAGGTTGACATGGGTGCCAGAGCTTTCTCTGTGTGTGTGTGTGTGTGTGTGTGTGTTCTTGGCAGCATAGTAATTATTGTCTATCAGAGGAGTGTGTGCGTCGTCCAGGGAAATGAACAGATGTGGGCGGCTCGAAGCATCTGAATAATGTATAGGACACACACATTTTCAGCGCACACACCTCAGCTTTTGCCCAGTTCTTTCGAAGGTGATGAAAGCCACCTGCCTGTTAGATAGGCTCCACGTCCCCAAATTATTACAATTACAGCAGCGTAGCTCACTGTTTATGCCAGCGCCGCCACGCTAAACGCTTTGCCATTTCTAGAGGGTCACACCAAATGACGCAAGGGAGTGGAAGAAGGATTTGGAAGTGGGAGAAAAGGGGAAATGAGAAACACACTCCCCCTCTTTTTTCAGCAAGCTTAAAAAGAGGCTTTTTTCCACAAACACCGCTCTGGCTTAGACACAGCGATTGGCCTTGGGTGATTCGCTCCGCTCTTCTCCCTCTTTCTTATTGTGCTCTTTCTTTCTTTAAAGTTGTTATTACTATTGCCTGGCTGTGACAACCAAATTATCTGTGAAATTATTCAGATTTTATGCCCTCATACTGGCAGGACCCCTCTCAGTGTGTGAGGGTGGATATGTCAAAATGTAAACCCTTTCCTGAGCAGAAAAACAATGGCATTTTGAGAAGTGAACAGTCGACAGACCTGCTTGGTGTCAGTAGCAGTCAGCACCTCTACCTAATC